TTTTCAATCAAATAATTTTGTATTTCAAGAGACGCGGTGATGTCATCATTGGGTCTGTCTGATGTTTGCTCTGAATTTGGCGGAAGGGGCTAGCAGGCTCCTGTATATGTCACAGCAGTCTACCATTCTATTCTTTTTAAATAAGAATTATATGAAAGAACACATCTCCGGGATCCCTTTATATCTGCTGGCCATTGGATGCTGCAGATTTTACCTATGCTGAATGTTTGCAGGCACATCTAAAGGTATGCTAGGGGTGTGTTCTTTCACATAATGCTCAGGAACAAAATGACTGATGGCAGAGAAAGCTAATAGCTGTGAGAGTCGAGCCAACAACAGTAAAGATCAGGGGGAGAAATGATTGATAAATGGTGGAGGTACTTTAGACGAGAAATTAAGGTGGGTTTAAAATAGCTGCTGCAGCTTCAAAGGGTTATATTGTAGAGATGCAAGTGTGCAGTATATTGAGAGTAGTCAGTTTTAAGACAGGAGAGGACTTACAACAGGTGTAGGTAACAAAGGTATTTATCTGTACATCCATACACAACGCTAAGCTTCACTCTCTTGAAGAGCTGTTCAGTCCTACAGATCTTCAGCATCTGACACTTCCTTTTGCCCCGTACTCCATCAATACTGGACACAGCAACGGGAGACCAGGCATCCAACAAAAGAACAAACATCTAACAAAAGCGTGTTGGATGCAGAAGATATTTCAGCCAGCTTAACTTTGCAAATGTGTCATCTAAGGATAGAGTCACTTTAAATCACAAGATTTATTTTTACTTCTCAGGAGTTATAACATGGTTTCTGCTCTTCAGTTCTCACTCCTATTCTTCACTCCTGCTATTGCAATTGGATGGAACCCACATTTGGATTTAAGATTATTTTCCATTATCTTTATACTACAGGCAATCCCTGAGTTACATACATCTGACTTTCATACGACTCCTACTTACAAACGTTGGCTATTACTGTACAGCAGGGGTAGTTGTAATACTGCCGCGCTTGTGTTGATGAGGAGTGCCTGCTTTTTTGGGTCTGGTTTGTAGTACTGTACGTACATTACAGGAAGTTGGCTCTTGTTAGTCAAGCAGACGAGGGGTGCCAACCTCTTCTTTGGGGTAACTGTGAGGTTTTTACTGCTGTCTGTATCTTCATTAGAAATATTTAATCTAATTTAATCTAAGAAGTGAAAGGAAATCTACCCTTAGAAAGGGAAATTCACTCTTGTAAAAGCTATCAGGGGAACAAGGTGTCTCCA